TATGCTTACTATACACACACATGTATATTTATACATACAAATTTGAAGTCATAAATACAATGTATGTATATGTGTATGCAATTGTCATATACTTAGCTGATCTGTTTTAAAATTTTGATTATTTTAAAAACTGATCACAACATACAATATATCCTTAATTTTGATATACAAAAACATGTTTATACTTACAGCATGAAGTGGCAGGATAGTGAATCATAATTTTCCTCATAAAAATATAAACATTTAAACTAATTACATTAATTAATGAAAGTAAAATAGTTTTAAATGAGAATATGCTATATTTCTCAATGTTCTCATTAATTATACAGTTGTCAATGTATTTGTTTGTAACATATGTTCATGTAGGTATCAAATAGCCGGATAACTAATACTTGAGATGAGGGCTCATTAACAAACATCATTGACAAATAGTGGTCTACAGTATATATTATTTTTATTTTCCTGGGGTGTATTTACTTATAAAAGCTGAATGTGTATTACTGCAATATATTGGAAGTGGTTTTGAGTAATCAAAACAAGAGTATATTGTATTCAAGATATTTTACATGTTAAGCCAATATTACTGCACTCTACTTACTTGAAGTGTCTAAATTAATAATTACAAATGCCAACAATACTGTCAAAATTACTGAGTTCTCTAGAATTTTGCTTTTTCATCTGATGTGGATAGCTAGAAGTCCATGTAATACTACTCTCTATTGCTTTTTAACCATCTTGTGTGTTTGGGAGCGTCTGTATTCTACCGTGTGGCTGGGACCACCTAAAAGCCTTTATCTTCCACCTACATGAGTAGGAAAAAAATGTTCTTTATTATCCCTTGTTTATGTTGATATACTTAATTCTTATAAATGAATTGGACCCTAAACTAAAAGACTTTATAACATTTTTGAGTCTGGTTTCAAATACTTTTGCTGTTTGTCTCTTTTAATTTTTCTCCCAATTTACGGTTTTAACCACATGTATTTTTCCTTAGTATGCATTTACCTAAACAGAAATTGTATATGCTTTCTGTATAATAATAAATATAATCAACTTTCTTCCATAATTTTTATAATTTTTCATAATAAAAGCCTTACATTTTACAGCATTTTACAGTTTATGCATACTTCAGGTCATCATTTCATACTTCAGGTCTTTGAAATAGAGAAGACTGTCATTAATTTCACTATAATTATGAAGATAAAGTTTAGAGAATCACAATGGGATTAAGGACTCAGCAAAACATTCCTGAATTGAGCTTCTAATCTACATTTTGTAACAACAGCTTGGAGATGATAATTCCTAGGATGGGCACTGATACGAAAAGAGCCAAAGCCCAGGAACATTCCATAATAAATAATTGAAATTTTAATTGACAATTGACATCACATCTCTATAATAAAAGTAAAATGTGGTAAATATTCAGATCAGATAGTTCAGCTGAATACTCTTCCCTTAGGCACTAAAAATCCTTCTTCCAATAAAAATTAGTTTGCTAACTATATGCATATACACATATAGACACATTTGCACCATTGGTCAGTATTAGATATTCTAGTCATACTTTCTAACAACCATTTAGCAAGTGACAACATACTAGCATTAGCTGGGTGATATTAGACTCATTTGTTAGGATTGATTCAGACTTCCTTCTCAGTGTCTGCATACACACAATCATGTCGCTTTAGTTATATTCTGAACCAGTAGAAGTTAGCATAATGTTGAAAAAGTGTCAGAATTGCACACATGCTGCCTTCTCTTGCTGAAAAAATTATCTCCAGAATTATATTTCACAATACTTGTCCAATCACTGCCTCTCATACCTCCCTTCTTTTTAGGGACTTATTTCACTTTCCTGAAAAAAATTTTCAATTACATTCAAAATACAAATGCTACTAATTTTTTTTACTCTTTATTATATCTATTTAGCTAATGGGATTATATTAGCTTTCCTTGCCAAGTTTTCATACACCATCATATATACACACAAAGCACATTGTTAATAAGTAAAAATAACTGCATATGTCAGAATGAATAAACACAGACTAGCAGAAAAGTAAACTGACTCGCCTATTGTCATATATAGTTTTCCTGTCTCCAGCCATCTCTGACCAGAAAGAGATGAGACTGAGATGAAGCTTTCATCAACTTTAATTCAATTAGATCAACTATAAATAAACCTTTAAATGTTGACTTAAAAACAATTAGGATAATAAAAACAGTTTGTAAGTCAATATATGTCAAGTTAATTTGACAATTTAAAGATTACTATTTACAGCCAGTGCTTAAAGACTAAAACGTTGACACTGGGTCCTTTTGCCTCTTACAATAATGTTCAAAGTAATTTATTTTAAGGTCCTTTAGATCTCATATTTGAATGTAAATGCTAACAGTCAATTGGCATTTGCATTTCTTTGAATATGTGTATCATATCACAAATACTGATACCTTATACAACTATCCCGTCTGCATGAGAGTAATTGCCTATGTCTGTTCTTCATCCAAGGTAGTAAATGTAATTGTGTGTGAAGTTAAAATAATTTAAAACATTCTGAGAAGGCAAAGTGAAAAGGCAGCTATCATCACCAAAACACTAATACTTCTTGTATATATGTGTCGTCTAAACTCAACTGCAGTCGGCCCCAGCAGAGCTTCACGGCAAAGAAAAGTTTACAAAGCCCGTCTAGTAACTGCTGAGTGATCTACTTGTTGCCTCCACATGCCTAATTTTTTCTCTATGACTCCTTCTGGACTTTAGTCTGCAGCTGATCTTGGATTATTGCTTTAAGAGAGAGACTGACTGCTAATCAAGATAATAACTTACGCTTGATTTGTGAAAGTCTGATTTCTTGGTAAGGATTGGTTTTCTTACTTTAAACTGGTTTAAAATTATTCAAATATAACAATTCAGAATATTTGCTTGCATTCATTTCCTTGGCACGGAAAGTAACAAGTGTCATGAAATTCATTTACTAAGAAACTAAATTGATCACAGAAGTCATTGCTTTGTAAACCATAAGATGGTTTTTTTTGGGGGGAGTACTTCTTTATGGAGAAATGAAAAATATTTAAACTTAGTGAATTCCTGAATTTTTGTCTGAACTAGAAATTGTTAAATCATTGCTTCTGAAAATGAAGTGGATTCTCTCTTTTCTTACATGTAGTTCCAAGGATTAACTGTAAGAAAAATCATTCCTTTATGCATCTCTCTCTTTAGCAATAAGATATAACATAAATCCTTTTCATATCATTATTTGATATTCTACTCATTCATACTATACCTATAATCATGAGTTTCTGTTAATAAAGTAATTTAAGAAGTAAAGTGGTAATAAATGTTATCCAGAAAGAGCAGTATTTCTGATTATCACAGAGGACTAAATAGCACCAGCATACCTGACATTAACCTACCAGAGTAGCATCACTGTAAGTGGAATTGGAAAGAGATGTGGGTAATTAGATATTGGGAGCTGGTTCTGGCTATTTCCAGTCCAATGCTGAATTTAAATGACAAAATAATATATATTTACACAAATTATTTTTGAAGAATCTTTCAACTCATTTTAAGATTGACTTAATCAATCAACTAATCCAATCTCTGCTTTTAAAACAAAGCTTCCCTCTCAAGTATTATGTCAGAAAATTGCATGTACAATTAGATTTTAGAAGAAAAAAGAAAGCTAGAATAAAGGAAATCACCACTCTTATAACTAAGCTTAGAGCACATCATAAAAATTCTGTCTACAGTAGGGACTTTCCTTCAGTTATCTCAAGCAATGGAAAAATACTATTGAGTTAAGTTCAATAATGTATTAATATGATATTTTACACATGAATAGAAACGTAATATATGCAAGATTTTAAGTCATTAGTTGGAGTCTTTTTTCAATCTATTACTGACAAATAAGGAAAAATGCATATATTTTAAAAAGAGCAAAAGTGTGATGTTTGATGCAATGTTCCTTTCCTAAAATATAGCCAAACCCTCATTTTGAATATGTGCAAACATCAGCAGTTTTGACAACATAATCCAAATGTACTAAACTATTTTATCTTCTACTAGACAACAAGTAGATTATTACAAACCTGTTTCCTCAGCACCTTGCTGATTTAGCATCTATATAATTTCTGCATCACACTCTGATTTTTATTGAACTAAGTGTACTATTTTTTTATTTGAGAAATTTTGCAAGTGTGACTAAAAGTTATTAACAGGATTATTTACTCTGTTATAAAATTGTTGTATATATATATGCAAATTAGTGCAGCAAGAAGCATATCTAGCTCATCATGAAATGTCTAAAATCATTCAAATTAAAGAACTGTTTGCAGATAATCAAATTTATTAAATTATTTATTCTTGTGAAGCTGAAGGCCACTTTCACATACTTCATTTCTGAACGTGAACTGGAAGTTTACCGAATCCTACATAGTTTCTCTTCACGTAATCCACATATGAATATTCTGGTTCCATTGTCTGCTTTCAGAAAGAAACATTTTTAGAACACTATTTTCTACACAGTGTTTACTATCTATATGTAGATTTATTAGGAGCTCAACAATGAATTATTTTCATAAGAAGAAAGTAAGGGAAAATAAATCCATTCTTAATTATATGCACATTAAACTAGTATAATCTAGGAAAAATAAGTAGAAATATTATTTTGGTTAAAAAAGTCTTCTGTTTCTGAGATATTCATCTCAATCTTGAAAACATGTGAACACTTGCGATTTCCCTCTCCCTTTGGCACATCTGAACCACTAGAGAAATCATACATCACTCAGTTCTCGAGGGTCACGTTTGCATCATGATTTAAAGATAGGTTTGAAATTTATGACATTATAGTTTTAAAATATATTTTAAAATTCAGTCTTTTACTCAACATGGTTGCTGCAAAAGAGGTTGGGAAACCAAATCTTGGAAGTCTTTGAAGCAAATAAAACTCAAGACCTTGGAAAATAAATCTTGCATCAAAGAAAATCTCAATTGTCTTTGAAGTCTTTCTGAAATACAAATATTTTATTCCAGTGGTTTTGTACATTCTAATGGCTCAGAAGAACAATTTGTATGTCCTTGTAGCTGTGCTCCTCTTTGAGATGTGAACTGAGATGGGGCTCAATTGCTGTACTATTTTTTCCCCATTTATTATATACTTCATCTCCTTCATGTAGCTCAAGCTGGAGAAAAACCAGCATGTTCTGATGAGTTTAATACTACCAGGCAGTAAGATGGACCTGAATTTAGTGGAGATTGGAGCTCCAAAATAAATATAACACTATGTGTCAAATAAAAAATGAAAAGATATTCTCCTGTACAAATCAGAAGAGATAGTAAAAATCAACGAATAGACAGCAACTTTTTTCTTAACATACCTACACAAGCATCTCAAAACTATTCCAAACTTGAAGAATCATTTACCTTTCTCTTATTTGAAATACTTCATATAATTTATTGGCAAAACAATGGTTTATGCTGCCTTAAATCAAATTTCACTGGTTTTTATTGGAGGGTTTTCATTTGAGAAAGATCTTCTGAAAATTTATATATTGCTAAATTAAATATTTTTTGCTAACCCACAGCAATAAAATTCTGCTGAATTCTATCACATAGCAAGCTAAAAGCATCACCACAAATTAAATTTGTCCCTAGTTTTGATATGCAAGAAATTCTGGATTTTCAATGGCATATCCTGTTGTATTCTCACTGACAGTACCATGAAGGTACATACAGGGCATCCTTGGCTCACTGACATCCCGGGCACTGCTTACTCATAGAGGTTAGGTGCCTTTGCAGGTATATGAGAGTTGCTATCTATTCACAAACCACTGAGCATTTCTTTTTATCAAAAAACCTTCAAATGCTCAGAGTCTGCGGTCAGTGCAGTCCCTTGGATAAGTCTAACACAGATATCCTTCACCAAGGCAGAAATCTAAACAGTTAAAAATGGAGGAATATTTACAACCACTTTTTCCCAGCAAGTGGAGTTCTTGCTTTCTATATGTAGTATAGTTTTTTGCTGTTACTTTTTCTTCAGTACATTTTAAGTTAAGGTTTCAAGGCTATGAGTACAAACTCTCTTGCCCAGTTCCATACATGTCTGCCAGTCGTTTGAAGCGAGGTCCCCAGTCACTTAGGTAGTCATAATTCTGATCAGAGTTTGAGCTGATGGAATCTAAAGAACTGAGTGATTCAGCAACTGAGCCATTTCCTTCAAATGCATATGTCTGCAAAGAATCATAGGGGGGAGCACCTGGATCCACATCAGCTTCTTTCAGTCTCTCCCAAATAAATTCCCGAAAAATGACATTATCTGGGATGCTTTTAAAAGTTGGTCGACTCAAGAACTGAATTTCTGGAGTCACATCCCTCCTGGTCTTGGTGTCTCGAATGACGTTGAGGTTTCTCAGTGCTGCCATGTCAAAGGCTTCAGTGTCTTCCTCTCCCCCACCCTCATCATCATATCTAACGATGTTTTCTCTAATATCTCTCTCTTCATCAAAAATGAGGGGCTCTTTTTTCCTTCTTCTCATAGTGACGATAAGGAGGATCAACACTAAAATGAGACAGCAAAAGGAAAATTTCAGTAAACTTGTGAAACATGGTAAAATTGGGCCTATGATGTTGACTCGTAGATTTTCTTCTCTTTACAGGGAAATGAATTGGCTTCCTACTGACATGGGAAATCACAGCAGTAGATGTGCTAAAATGGCCTTAAAATAGAACACTTTCAAACATCAAGAAACCTTTTTCTGCACCTATTCAGGATTGATGTCTTGCTCTAACCTCCAAAGTATTTGACAGAACAAATTGAAGGGCCAGTTCAAGATAAATATAATAATTTTCAAAGCCATGCAACACAAAGGGATTTTTTTGAACTCCTTAATTGCTGGAGAGGCAAAATGGCATTCATAAATGTTTTGTGTCTAATTTAACAACTGCAATTTCAGAAGGAAATAGATTACAGTACTTGGTCAGGTTCTTTGAAGAAATGTCTGGTCCTTGTCTCTGAAATTCAGCTATTGAATAAAATTCAGCATGTCAAGCCATATACAAAGATTAAAAGTTTCTCTATAATGAATTGAGCCCTACTTTTATATATGAGAATCGTGAACTTGGTCTTTGAGCATTACACCTAGAGACAGAATACAGGTTGTGAGTCTTTCAGGATCAGTCAAAGACAGATTTGAGAAATGAATCACCCCTTTAATTCTTATACATACAAAATTAGTGTTAAATCAGGATGCATGTGGGTGCACTGGAAAGCAAAAAGAAATAACTGGATACTCTTTGATGTTAAACAGAGTACAAACTGTATTTTAAATTAAAATATATTAATAAGAAGGATGCTTCACTGGCTGAAACTGACTCCCCGAAGGAAAACATACTGTATTTCATAGCTTCCATAACTAAGTTAAAATAAGGTCAGAAAGGTATTCTTGAATTTTGAAATCCAAAATATAAAAACAATGAGTTATGTTTGATTAGGTGTAAAAATAAACTATCTTTTAGCGATTTTTACTACACTGGTCTAAGTTTTTTTTCTTTTGGATACCTAAGGCCCAAAGTACACACGAAGTGGATTATTGCTTGGTATACATTGCTCTTTATGAGTCATGGGGGCTGAGACTGTAGAGCATTTGCCCGCAGGTATGAGGCCTGAGTTGAATTCCCAGTACCACAGAAAACAAGAATAAATAAGCATAAAAAGGAGTCCTCAGGATGTTTATACTGAAAGTATATTATGGTATTCATATTTAACATTAAAAATAGAACTAGAAATAAAAATGGAAACTCAAGGGCACACATGCAATCCAATGTAATCATATGCAGTAACAAGGCATATTTTATCCTCTATTTCATTCTACTTTCAAAAGTTGAAAAACACTAACTGCTTATTTAATTTTAATTAAAATCAATTTATTAAGTGCTATGAAAACTATACACTTTCTTAAGTATTTATCTGTACTTTCTTTTCTACCACCAACAGAAATGTGATGAAATTTTTATTGAAGAGCTCTGGAAATACTTGTGAAAACTATTGTTTTGTTGTTACTCTGTTTTGTTTTGTTGTGACATTTTCCTTTTCTTTCCCATTGACTCTGGCCTGTTGTTCATCTCAAAAGCTTTAACCTTTTTGTACAGCCTACAGTGTACGTACCTTTCTGAGCTTCTATATATTCTTCTTATCTTAGGATGGCACAAATATATGCTTATTTTCTTTATACCGCCCACTTATTGCAGTTGCATGTCCTGAACAGGCTCCATCAAAAGGGAAGACATGTACCTGAAAATCCACCCCCTGTTCTCATTAGTAGCTTGACATTTAGTCCCTTCATTTCTTCACAGGCTATGGCAGAATACTTCAAGCAGAAGGGGCTTTAGCTTTGGTGTCAAGAAGTCTTACACATATCAGCTGGAACAAGAAACTTTAACTGATCCTACCTACAAGTGATAACAACCAACCTCAATGTTCATAGGCTGGAATAAAGGGATAAAGATATTTGGAAATGACATAAAGCAGAGGTAGCAGAGTTCTAGGAAATTTTAATTATGTAACACAGACGTTTTCATTGTTATCTTCTGTCCTGTCTGGAACATTAATTCAAACCTCCTTGAAAATACTGTGTTTTCCTTTAACTAAGAAAAAGCAAATAAGAGGACTAGATAATAAGCAAAGCAGAAGGTGTACCAGTTATATGGCTAGGCTTGCATACTCAAGGATGAGTGGGAGACAGAAACTTGATGAGTGAGAAATGAAGGTCTATACAGACCTTATTTAAACAATACAGAACACACTGTTTAACTTGTACAATTCTCTGGGTATTTCCCCATTCCATGCTTGTCTGAAACACATAAAACAATGTCTGTAGGCAGTGTGGTTAAGTGCTATAACTAGGGATGGATAGCAATCCACACTGGTAAGCATTCAAGACTTTAGAATTTCCTACACCACCACAAACTTAGAAGTACAGAAGGTAATGGTGAAATGAAGCCTGAAGAGCACAAGTAGCAATTGCTCATTCAAAGAAAGATATGGCAGTAAATTTTATGACAAGTAAAAGAATAAAACAAAATTTTTAATTTACATACTAATTATAGTTTCTGCAACTTTTCACATAGACTCTTCAAAAAAAATAATTACAAAAAAAGAAAGTAAAACCTAATACAAATTCTCAGAAACCAGATGAAGGTAGAGAATGAAGAGATGAGTATGAGAGAATACTATTGGGTTTGATATGTGCTGGCTGGTAAAAGTGAGAAACAGAAGGAGGGTGTCCAACTGAGAGCAAAAGCGTGTAGGGAATCCACCTTTCTACATGAACATCTACATGGACACAAGACTGAGGTTGTGAAGAGGATAGAAGCTGTGTAATAATGAGATGCTCTTTACATTTAAATCATTGTCTAAGAAGGCAAAGCATTTCAAATTTTTCAATTCTTTCTTATGTATTATTATAATGATCTCTGCCTTGAATACATATTAATTAACTGGTTCTTATATTCTACTTAAAATTAATTTCAAGCTATTGGTAAATTTTCCCTGTCATTAAAGTCTTCAGTAGAAATAAAATCAAGATTATCCATGGTCTAACATATACAGGCACAACACACTACAAGGATAACAATATCTTGTGGAATTTTCCTTATTTTCCAATCTTACTCAAAGCTAAGAAAACTCGGAAGTGTTTTCAAAGGTTAGATAATTTAACATTTCAATGACTTGGGAGAATATTAATTTCTAACTACTTGAGCACATATAAAAATAAAATCTAACCTTTACATAGAACCAGTATCAACTGTTCTCCAGAGACTATAGAGGTAATCCATGTATTAAGAATATATTCTGTCTAAGTTAGCACAAGAATTTCATCTTTTGTCCCATAGACTATACTTCTGAACAGAAACAGAAGAAAATATTTAGTCCAGTTGATTTTACTGGGTTGGTTGTTCATGAATTTGTACACTGATTTAGCAAAATCATTTTACAATTTATTATAAGAAATAAATATGATGATGTAAGGTTATGCACAGAATTAGAGATACTACATTTCCTTATAAAACTTACACTTAAATGGGGCAGGACAGAAATTAATGAAGTTACAAATTAATTTAAAAATACAATTGTGGATATTATAGATTATTCCAAATGAAGGAATGCATAGATAGATAGATATAGATATATAGTCATTAACTAAGGATTACTAAGGCTGAAAGCTGAGAAGTGGGTGGAGATGTAACATGGATTAAAATTCTTGGCAAAGAGAACATAGTGGTCAGAGTTTTGAGACCAGTGTGGCCACAGGACAAAGAAAGATTGGAGAATAAGGTTGGACAAATAGAGGACAAACATGCTTTAAGGACTGCATACCATTATTAGGTTTGTTTTAAAAATCATTCTTCTGTACTAAGAATAGGAAGTGGGAAAGAGCAGATGTGAGAAACAAGTTACAGTGTTGTGAAATAGTAAAAGCATAATGCTGACCGAAATTTCCTGTTTTAGATTCGGTTTTTATGACATTCAATACAACATTTTCTGAGTGTCCCAGTGTGTAAAAAATAGTACTAGATACTGGCAAAATTATAACAACAGTGAGTAAGCAGTTCAAACATTGTAGGTTATGTATACTTAGATGAATAAATTGTAGTACATTTCACTGTAAGAACAGGTGTGCGTAGGTGCAGAGAAGCATAACTTATTTTCTCCAAACCAAGCAAAATTAAAGGAAAAGATGCAGAAAATTATAGAATTGCAAAACATACACCACCTAAAAATTAGTGGGATTCTTTATTCTCAACTACACTATGGTCTGTGGCAGAAAAATACCTAGATATTTAAGCTGGAACATGATTTTTACTATGTACCTTTAAAGTACTTTAGTTATATGGTCCTAACCTTCTTGAGGAGGCTGTAGCATTATTGATCTCTGGAAATAAAAAATGCTTTTCTTCCAATACATATATTTCTATCATCAAGTTTCATGTCTTTTTTACAGAATTCTTGAGTCATGGAGAGTTTCTCTCTAGCCATTTGTTGTGTAGTCTCAGCAGTTCCTGAGTTCACCACTCATGGTCATTGTGAATCCCTTGCTCTAAATTTCTATGATTGCAAATATCGCAATTCTGAACATTCAGTTTAGACACCCTAAACTAAGCAGAATTCTGCAGATGGGAGTTGATGGCAACAAAATGATACCACTGTTAAATAAGAGCACTTACATCAAAGTGAAACCATTTCTCTTCACTTATATTTATAACAAGTCAAATAGTGAGCTGGTGTTCTTTAAAAATCACTCAGTGACATCATGACTACCATAGCAGTTATTTTCCATCCTACAATAATATTTTTAAAAACAATCAGATTGGAAGACTTTCTGCACATACCTATTATATACCATGGCAAGTTTAACCCATTGTTTAGTGATGGTCTCAAAAGTTTTATGCCTGATTATCACTCAATTTAATAATAGCTTTTAACGAGCACTGACTTGTAAAACTGTGAACCCTATAAAGGTTATGATCTTGTTCCCTACAGATTTATCCTAAGAAGAATGA